GGAAATTGGAGTTCATTTAACCAATTTTTATATTACAGACAGGCCAAACTATTTTCACAGGTTCACTTGAAAATTGACGGTTATATGTTCTTATTGAAATTCACTTCTCAAAGTGGAAATTTCATTTTGAAGTCTCCATTTAATTTAATCAGTGTTAGATTACTCATTACACAATGCGTTGCGTTGAATGCAGGGCTGTGTACAAGGTTTTGCAACATTTTCCCTATATCAGGCCTGATATCTTCACGCTCTATAATTTACTTCATGTTTAGCATATTTAACTCTATTTCTGGTCCTTAGTTCTTTCAACTGGTTCGATGTGAGGTCCTACATCCAGTCGTTTATCCACTACATCTGAACCAATATATGCTTTGTAAACAGGAAGTGAATTATTTTACCCTTTCAACATATTTCCCTCTAGGCTTCCTGATAAATCTTGATTTGAAATAAATCAGTTAACTATATATAGTAATAGTGTATAATGGCTAGCAGTAGAATCCGAGATGCGCATTTCATCCTATTTGGGACTCATCAGCTGGATGTACCTGGCTCTCAGTGAGTGATGTTGTCCCCACCGGGACTCGGACTCAGGAGGGATCGCTTCAAACGTGACAGCGTTGTCCACTACACCACCGAGTCACGATGAACACTTCTTGTGTGACGGGTATAATTTTAGTGTTATTGCTTGATCAATTCGGTCCAGTTAACTTTCAAAAATTTATCATTATTGAGGCTTGTGGTTGCTTTTTATAAACGTTTTTGTTTTCCTAATGAATTGGTTTTTTAACTATATTTTGTAGTTGATCGCTTTTGTTGTATTCTCTCAAATGAATTCTTCCTGGCTTAAATTTGACTGAATACTCTAGTTCAAGATTCTAATGGAAACGTTTACTTAGTTATGAATAACATGATAAGCGATTAACCCAACTACCAATTCCCAGTTGATGAAGGTATGTTCTGTGATGTATGTAGATGTTGGTTCTTCAAAGATTGTGTCAGATTGACATCAACTGTGTACACACGTTGCAGCAAACCAGCTTCTCCTTGGTTATTTGACTTCTGCTGTGCACCTTTGTTAGCCCGAATTCAGGAAGCTGTTGCAATATGATTGGTCGAAAAAAACACCGATGGGGTAATGACCATCGTCAGTTCGATGAGCTATCAGATGACAACGCTGTCAATACGTCCGACATCAAACCAATGTCGAATACTAGCGATTTAATAAACGATGAGATTACACCAGTTCCGACGTTTATCAACGTAAAAGGAAATCGAGGGTGACTGATACACGAACTTGATGCCAAAAGACTACACCTCTGTTAACAATGTTGATGCTACAAAGACGATCAATGAATCCAATTGGAGCTCTTCAGAAAGAATTCGAAGAAACCTTCATAGGTTATCACTGAAACTACAAAGGCTAAGAAATCTGTTGAGAAACTTTCAAAGGATTTTCCATCAATGTTTAGTGTGGTCTTCTGAAATGTTGAGGAGTCAGTAGACAAAGTCCTTTCAATCTGTCATGCTCATCATCTCAAGCTTTTCGAGTAGAACATCAGATATATCCTATCTGAAACTTTTAAAAGAATACGCATCTCCACAGGAGCCAGCTGAGGGAAAAAGGGGATGGAAAACCCGATGTGAGCACGATTTTAAAGGTAGTTCTAGGCAACAAAGAAGAAGTGGATGTACTTCTGGATGACATTGAAACTAGGAAATTCAAACATCTACATTCTACCAAACTGGAGGGCCACTTGAAAACAACAGAAGTGATCGTTGAACTTAAGCCTTGACAAATCAACGGAGAAAGCAGCAAGATTGGGGCTTTATCAGTTTTGAGGTCTTGGAAACGAATGCTTCTAAGGCTTGCATTGATGGTTCATGGAACTCTTCAAACACTGCAAACTTAATCTACATCAATTTTCTCAGTGTTAGCAATAAAATGATAGACGTCGAGACTTTAGTCTGTAAACTAGAACCTAATGGAGTGGCCCTTGCTGAAACCTGGCTAGTTACGAATTTAGATTCTACGTCACTTCTAATAGGGTATTACTGCGTAAGGACATATAGGGTTGTGTGTCTCAGAGGTTACGGTTTGATTATGACACTGCTTCTTCTAGATCTAATGTGTGGCGCATAGACACTCAGATTATGATGGATTAAGCAGTCGGTAAGGACTGGACTATTGACATGGACCCATCAGTCGAGGACGCCTAGGATATGTTTAGAACTCTATTCAAAGAGATAACAAAACCATTTATTCCATGGTTGTCCCCATGAAGATTCTCATATCGCCCCTCGAAGTTTGATGAAGATACCCAGAGACTGTTAGGGCGGAGGAAGCGTTTACGGAACCTTTTTATAGGAAGTGGATTGCTAAAATGTAAAACTGGGTATTGTATAGCCGGTAATATGTGCAAAACTTTGATTACGCAGTCTCAAGTGTCCTACGAGAAAAAGCTTGTAAATGATTGCCAAAACTGTTCTAAAAGGCTGTTTACATTTCTTAGAAGAAGGAATAAAAGAAGATGTGGAATTCCGTCCCCGGTGACGGATGAGACGTCTGATAGTCTGATGGAATCTGATCTGTCCAAACCTGAATGCCTATCGGATTACTTTAGTGAAGTCTTCTCTGAAGATCATCATGGCGGGGTGCTCAGTACTGGGATCAGCACTCCCCGACCAATGAATACAGTGCTCATAACAAAGGAAACAGTCTTCCAGCCACTGATTAATTTTAAACCTGAAAAATGCTTGGATCCCGGTGGATTGCACTCCAGGTTGCTATCTTTGCTAGAGAGCATTACTGCTGAATCTGTCACTGATCTTATCAATATATACTTATCCCCCTGAGAGTCTAACATAGTTATTATGGGTTTCGAAAAAGTGGTTCATGATAAGGTACTTGATCATGTTGAGTCAAATAATCTTTTGGCACCATAGTAACAGGATTTTTCTACTGAGCACTTCTGTTTAATAAGCCTTCACATCGTGAGAGGAGAATGCGTCGCACTCCATTATTGAAAGCTACCAATAGATGCCGTGTTCATAGACTTCGATGAGGCACTCTATAAAGTACCTCATGTAAAATTACTAGGAAAGCTATCCTCCTTCGGATTAGGTGCTTCACTGCAAGCTTGAAATAGAGACTTTCTTTAAGATAGGAGGCAAAAAGTGAGGGTAAACGGGAAACTGTTCACGTGGAAACTTATGATGAGTAGAGTTGCTCAAGAAACAATCCTAAGTCCTCCGATTTTCTTGTTGTGTGTCAACGAATTATCGCGAATGCCCTTATCTTCAGTCCCGCTATTCGCCGATGATGTAAACGTTTGGCGGATCATACGTCGTGATCCTGATAAGTATGCACTTCAAGCGAATCTGGATGCATTGGTAGGCTGGTCCAAACGTTGGTGTTTGAAAACTGCCCCTAGTAAAATTGAGTTAATCCACACTATTCATAGCAATTGTTCCTAGCATTCCGTTGATAGTGCACCACAATTCTCAGTCTTTGAACTGAAGTACTTAGGTTTCATCGTAAGCCATGATTTGAAAACTTCAGCGCACTGTTATACAGTTTCAGTAAAGGCCATTCGTTTTTTATGGTTCATCCCCAGACCTTTCAAAATTTTTGATTAGGATATGTTCAGAATATTATGTTTTACTTGCATTAGACCTCACTAGGAATGCTGCATTCAGGCGGCAAGCTCATGCTTGAAAAAAGAAGGATTTTGACGCACCCAAGCGTGTTTCGAAGGGTAGATACTAAGTTTGTGGTTGGTCTTTTGAATCTACCCCGTGAGCAGTTATCAAATCAGCTAAAATTGTTCCCACTGTCTTACCATAGGAAACCAGGTGATCTTATACGGACACCCTGTATCCTTAGTAATGACTTCGGTACCGATATGTCCTATATTTTCTCTTCCACTAGGATTGATTACCTCTGGGACCATTACAACGAGATCTAAAAACCACGATCGAATCAACTTAGAGTGAATTTGCGCTTCCCCCGTCGTGTAGTCAACAACTGGAACCCCCCACCTAAGCAAGTTAAATCAGCTCCATCGGTTAACACGTTCAAGAAGAAAGTAGATCTTTTTAAAGATATCTTCAGTAAAGATTAACACTGGGAAACTGGCCTACTAGCCTCATCAGTGAAAATTGAAACGCCAAGTCCAATTTTGTCCTATTTGGCCACACAAAAATGTGAACTGGAGAACGACAAGTATTGAGCACTGCCAAAAGATTTATATCTCAAAACAAGTCTTTTTCACACTTAAATAATGCTTACGCTTAAAAATAATTTATGTAGCCAGTTTGATTGAAACGAAAGCATCCTGAAACTAAACGCAAACTACATTAAACGTTTATCTTTGGAACCAGTGAACTGTTTGGGAATATACACTGTCATGGGAGTGTTTAACAAAATTTCGAATAGATATGTTGCAGGTTAAAAATACTTTAACTTCTTCAATACTTTGATACGCAGAAAAACTTTATGACACACAGAGTGAGTGTATTAATCTTGAACATATCAAAGAATCATTGGTGCTCATCAATATGGGAAAAATTGGTTTTACTACTCAAAGTTTCATACAGGAATGAGCAGCACTAATAAACATGAGAATTCTCTATATATCGAGAACTACCAAGTGACTTTTTGAAAATCAGACTTCAAAAGAAATAAAACTTGAACATTTGTAGTGGAAAGAGCAAACACTTAATCCTTTTCTCCAACTGTTTTTCTCAATCATCAAAACAGGAGTATACAGATGTATAATGACTATAGTTATTAAACAACTAACTAGTTTTTCAAAAATTAGTTACCACGGCATACTTCTTTAAATTAAAGTGACAAGTGATTGCCTATTTGTTCGCTTAATGAAGTATAAATAATATATTCTCGGATAAGGTTTGCTTGTCACAGTAAAATCGCACAATAAATTACATGACTTTCAACAATAAGTAGACATTTTAGCTGTCAAAACGACATATTAACTCACCCCTTTTCCTATTCTCTTTTTAATCTCGAATTTTTTCAGTATGTGAGGTTCTATCTCAGTGTTCATTTCCAAAATTACTCATTTTCTTAGAGCACTCAATTTGCGCGGTGGTTGCAGTACTAACCAACAAATATTCCTCTGATGCCAAACAACAAAAAGCACATAAGCACATTACGGGAACTACAAACTATTTTATTCAAGCCAGTCACGGAAGTTTTGTCTCATATTATCTAATATCACCTTCAGAACACTTATGAATGCATCTTAAGTTACCCAGAGAAAATCATGAACGCAGTACCATTGATTATTTGATGCGTCTTCGTTGACCAATTTATTTCTGATTGGTACCCGAGATCAAGATATGACAGTTTGAGGGAGTTTGACCTTAAAAAAGTGAGAGGTTGTGTTCCGTTTTCGAAGTACCCTACTTGTCGTTTGATACATTCACCGGCAAGTATATTTGGTATTCACACGTTATTGTAAGTGAATGGAAGCAGAAGAACTTGGTCGCAAGTTCAACTTGAAAAGAGCCAAGAGGCTGCTTTGTGTCGGCATAATTTTCTGTAGTATGACTGGCCACAAAGCAGTGTCAATGTTTTCTCTACTTAAGCTTGGAGAATCAGGAAGGAAGTGATCGACAATGTAAAAAAGTAGCCAAGGAGAACTGGTAAGTCAAAGTTTTCAGCACCTTTAACTCGTTTCTTCGGATAAGCATTTTTCTTATTACATTAGATTATTGAATCCGGCACACAGTGACAAAACATAATGTTCCGGGTGACAATTCCTGGACAGTTTGTGGTGCATATTCATGCTAAAGTCACTGCTTATTGCACTGAACAAACCAATATTACATGGAACTGTGCTCTACCACAGCGCGAAGGCTTTGTTCTGATGCACTTAATTCTCGAGACCGATACCTCCTTCAGTGCGCACATGCTAATCAGCTTGCTCGAAGGCGAGTGCAATTTCTTATAAATGATCGATGATCCCCTTGAAGCTGTAGTGTCACGCACTTCCCTAAAATCAATGGCCTATGGTTTGACGAGACTCAACATTGATGCTGACCTTGGTAGTTTAACTGAACTAGCTGAGCTGAAGCCACCTGGTCAAGCATCCTTGCCTTTTGGCACGCTGTCGAGTTACGTTGCGCTGCTCGTAGTCGACTCTGCTGCCAGTTAGTTGGAAAGCATCGGTATCTTGCACGACCCCAAAAATATACTATTCCGTCCGACTAAACCATTGTGTTCTTTCTCGGTCTCATGTTTGTTGGCATATAACAAGTTTGAACAACTAGTGATTAGCCTCTGTGTCTGTCAAGTTCGCACCAGGACAGTTCCTAAAAGGCCTTTTAGTAAATGGAAAAACCAATGGCGGAAGCGATAGCGTTGTCTGATCAAGTCATGAACTCTTTCCTTAGCGTCCCGTCCGAGGCTCTCAATATGAATATTAGAGAGTCACTGCAAAGAGTGTCACGTGACACCATGCCGCATCCCGGCTTTTCTTCAGCAGGCTACTATCTCTTGCGATGTGGCACAGTGCGTTCGGTCGTGGACCATTTGACATAAGTGCTTCCATCAGGCAATGTGTTCGCTTGGTGGAGGGCCGCAGGCCTGTCATATTTGCTAGTGACAAACCATTTCGATGGTTCACGTTGAGGAACCTTCGCATCTGATGAAGACGGCACACTGACACAGGGGTTGTCTCGCAAAGACCTCCCGTTGTTGTTATCCCAGCTGGTCAGTCAGAAAGTATTTCCCTCTTGATTTCTTATTCATGAGGTCCAGAACAAACTTATGAGGAGTCGTTGAACCTCCGCATTCGTAAACATGATTTTTGTAACCCGGTCACTTAGTGAACTTCATATGATATCTCGTACCCGCTCAGACCTTTTGTATGAATCAGCTTTTTCTTTCCGCTGTTTGCGCCCTTAGTAACGCCGAATAAAACCAACGTCGAACTTACGACAAACCGAACAACTCATTCTATATTATTTCGGGTTAACAACGAGTAAAAAAGTTTTCTTGCTTTCCGAAGCTTATTTCCTCAAACATGTTATCGCAACTCTCTACTCTCATTATCTACGGGTAGTACAGCTGCACTGGGAGAATTCTAATATCCATCGCCGCTTGTTAGATACTGCCGGTGGCCTTGAGCTTTTGTTGCATTCAGGTGAGTTGGATCGAGCCATTTGTATTCAGTTGTTCTGGCAAGCCAACAATCTTGCTGACTGCGGCTTTAACATACATAAACGAGCAAGGTTAGACCTAGATCGGTGTGCCAGTTGAAGTCACCGAATTTCATGTCTTAACTAGTTCACCAAACCGTCCAAAATGTAGCCGGGCAGGCTTACAACGTAGAGAACAAAGTTTTGGCCATTCGAAGGAATGAAAGGTTTAGTGGTCCCTGAAATAACAAAAGTAACCAAAGGGTTGACACAGAAAAGTAGACGGGAGAGACAAGTTGGTCGAAAAAAGAAATAGCAGACAAAGTTGTGTCTACGACAATGGAAGCCACATAAAAGGCATGAACGGTGATCCCTGCGACTTCTTAACAGCAGCACACAAGTGCCAAATGACAGTTGGTTCTCCAGTTGGGAAAATGAGCTGATCCATTGGCAAAAAACAGAAAGGTAGTTTACCACTGCTGCGGGAAATGGCGAAAAAGTCCCACCTGCGACCCCTGCAGCTTCACATGCTATTACTTTTCTCCTTCCATGGGCACGTTCAAAAGCAGTCCCACCGCGTGGTTTTCCAAACCTTTTTATGACCTAAACCCAAGGTAGTTTTTAGGCCACCTATGCCTGTGGGCAAACTCATCTTTGCGCTTTTCAATAAATTTTACTTCGCTGTGATCTGCCGTGCTTCCGAAGTCATGTTGTATTCCCCTCACAGTAGTTTTTGCACTACTCGGGGTAGAATAGGCAGCCATTCTGGTGGTTCCGATTCAGTTATCCATTGCAAACGTCCCTGTTCTATACTGGTAACTTTTTATTTTGTTGTAATTACATCATCTTTGGTGCTAACTGATCTCCTTCGCCATATAGGGTAATACTTTTTTATTTAGGAAATTATTCTTGGCTGTATGGCCCCAAGGTGACATTTTCGAGGCACTTTCTTGCCATGTATCGTGTTACAAATCAGTGCAAGAGTATACACAACCACATCAATCTTGTTTTTCATCTTAGGGCATATTTGGGTTGCACTTAAGTTAGGCGGGCAAACTGCTCGATGCTGAAAGAACACAGCCATCCTTTTTGTCTGGGCGGAAAAATGTTCCGTATCGTAACGTAATTTCTTACCAAAATGATTACATTTTGACAGCTTCAGTAACCAACAGCCGAAAAGTTACTGGAGGATACCTGTAGCCAGAAGTGGGAAGTTCACTAAGGATTCAGTGCTGAACCGGAGCATCTTTAAGGAAAGAGATATTTCCTCGCAGTCCGGAAAGTTTCTCCTGGTGCAGCTTCACGTCATTGCTATCATGACTGGAAGGCTTTACAGGACATTAGTACTAGCACTTGAAGTGAGTCAATGGAGTTGAAAGAGAAACAAGGGTTGGGATTCTGGCCATTACAGGATAAACAGAAGGAACAGATGCCGCAGCTGTAACAGGAGTTGAGGTTGAAGCTGTGGCCTGTAGTTTCCAGCAGCTGATTGGGCCGGACTGATCGACCACAAATGGCATATGGGATTTTGTGTATATGCCTTTACACTGCAAGTATGCTCACTTTGATGTCGCTGATGGATAGTGACCATCCAAAACATCAGAACTCCACCCGGCCCAAAAGCAGTAGCCACTACAACTCGATGGATTAGTGGACAACCCTCTGGCAATTGAAACTACTGGTTCTAGTTCCGAGTAGTAGTGTAAGCAAGGTAAATCACTTGGGATGGGTACATCCGGCTAACAGGTCTCAAACAGGAGTAAACGCTGACCTTAAAAACCTGTAGCTAGTCACGATCCCACACAAGCAAGAAGAGTTAGGGTTGTCACAGTCGAGGGAAAACTCAAGGGATTAAGCATAGTGTGTCATATGACATTGCTAATTGACTAAAACTTCTTTTCGAGTTCATTCATTATTCAGAACCAGCCAGCGCCTGTACGGTACGAAGTCCAGTCAGAATCAGGTACTTCTATTAAGTTAAGGAGCACAAAACAGGAGAAACAAGAGCAACTTTGTCATTCAGCCGACCAACATTCCTACAGTAAACTGTAGCATACAATGAAGGGGCTGTTTCCGAGCGCCCGGATAAAATGGGCGGAAACTCTGGGAAGTACATGGGATAATTATATGAGCCAACAGCTGCAGAGCTAAGTAAATTCTTACCAAGACAAGAAAGATAAACCTTAGTGGGATTGGTAAGTTAGCTAACACTGGTGGACAGACCAGTAGAAGTGTAAAACGCTCTCGTGAACAGCAAAAATCTATGCAAGTGTACGCGAAACCCTAATTCATCCTGCTGCGGGAAACGTATACTCTCTTGAAGTGCTCAAAATTCTTGGCATTATATGTTGATGGTGTAAAAAAGCTAAAGAACAAACAGTTTCCACCTCAGAAACTACAGACCTGAAAATTGTAAATCTCAAGCTGTTTCTAATGTAGATGACTGCAAAAGTCGTCACTACACATTGTTGCACGGGTCCCTACGGCAATGAAAATCTTGAATGAGAGCATGTTGGAAGGCGGCTGTGGATATACAGGGTGGAAAGCAGATAGCGTGTTCCTCGGATCCGTAAAGGCATTTCCGGAGGCAAGTAATAAAATATTTCCCGCTTGACTACCCAGACATTCAATGATAAATCCCACTGCTTAACCTTCCAATCCACTTACACTTGTAGCCCTTGACTAGGGCATCGTGAAAGTGGTACTATTCGACTATTCGATTGGAACTACTAAAGGGGACTCATCTTTACTTCACACAGCATCTCATCCACAAGTAAAGAAGCTGTGTTTAACCCCACAATACCCCAAAAATTATCATCTTTACGACGGTATGGGACCATATACTGGGGAACTGCTGTCTTACACCATGATGGTAAGCTTGGTGACAAGTGCACATTTGGTG